TAAAAACTTTGTATCTCTTTTTACGAAAATTGCGCGGACGGAGGAGTATGAAATTTTCCACACTTAGAGAGAATATAGAGAAGAAGTGCATAATGCTAATATTTTTTTAAAATAATGCATAAAAGATACATTAAATCAATAAAGAAAACATTACACACACTACATACCATGTATTTGACGCACACACGCATGCATACTATTTATTGTCAAACTTTTGTTCTTGACGTCTGTTGTCAAATTGAGAATAGATTAAATATTGTTTGTGTTTAAGTTATAGTAGTCTTGGCGAAATTTGTGATTATAGAAGTATAAAATACAATCATAATAGTGTACAAACTTACAATTCCAATTAATTATAGTCGAATTTCGACTACTGCGGGACCTCTAGATAAAATGAAAAATACATATAAATAAACATACATAAAACAATAACTTAAATACAATTAAAGTGACAGGAAATAGTCCAATTAATTTCCTTAATCTCCTCCCAAGTTGTTTTTCATTCCATAAATCTTCCTTAGAATTCAAAGTGTACATTACTGTCTAACCTCCAACGAAACTAGCGCGGACTTAAGCTTCAATAAATGAATTATAATCTATAGCGTTCTACGTCTCTTTCACGCATCGTAGATGTCCACTGACATCTCTTTCTAACACTTAAAGTGCTTCGGGGACTGTGAAACGGACAGGGTATGTGTTGGAGGATGATGGACTAGGAATTTATATGATATTGTATTATCTGAATATTAGTATTATACTTCTTGATATGATCGTCCGAATTAAAACAGCCATTTCGTTGACACTCACTTACAAAGAGACGTCGCTGGTACTGGTCCTCCCGGTCCAACATATGCTCTTTGTGCTCTTCTCTGCTCGCATTTAGACGAGCACCTAGCGGCACTATTCAGAGAGCGTTCATGTGTAGAATGCTAGCCCGTTAAACTACTCTAATCATATATAATTTTTTTTTAGTTTTTATAGTTTTAATGATAGGCATATTTTTCAGATATATATATATCTACAAGCAAAATAAAGAGCTGCTGCTTATGCTTTATTGAGCCTTTGGCTATTCTCATGTTATGTTAAATCAAATTCATCCGATAATAAAAATTAAATTCAAGGCTTGTCAGATTTAATTTATTTAAGGAGGCATTTATACACTGTCTGTCCGGACTAATAGCGGAGGCATTTAGTTTAAAGTACGGAGATCAGCTCAATATCACTACTATATTACATTATGTTTCATAAAGTTTTACTTAAACAATTTCAGCGGAGAGCTCTAGAAGAATCTTACCGTCAGTTAAGTGAACGCCGCTGGCGTTATCTCGCATTGGTGTGTTCGATCTGGGGTTAAGATTGGTCATTGCTCAGAAGGCTTGAGCTATTGCAGCATTAGGGTGTAAACGCGTATACTAGTCAAAAATAGATCAGCATCAGCGACAGATATATAATATCGAGACCGTAGCACAACTCACTTACCACCATCGCATTGTGTGATTAGTTGACATACAAAGAACAACGACCTTCACATAATAATTAAGTAGGGAAAAACACATAGTAAATACGGCTCACACATATCAGATCGTCACTACAGAGTCACCTTTATATCGAACGGGCCGGAGCTCTCTGTTGCCACATATAACCGTTAGCGCACATGTTGCGTTGACTGTATCTCAGGCATTCAAGTCAAATCAATCTAATGTCTAACTATTACGAACTTAGCATGCCATGAAATATAGTTCGAATACTCTACAAACGTACTACAGTGC